ACGACACGTGGCTTTCTCAGCTCTTCCTTTAGAACAACACTGGTAAAGGGTTTGAGAAGTGACCTAAGATCAATTTGTCCTCGTTTTGAGGAACAGGCACAGCAGAGCCAGGCATCTGTGGTCCTCCATGCTGCACCTCTTAGCTATGTCAAATATTCATAAATGTGTGTATGCATATAATACTGAGGTACACTGCTCCCTCTAGATTACTCTTCAACAAGATTATGTCAATCGACATTACAACAAATGTATCCATAATCCTATATCCTATGTTCTGCACAAACACTGAATAGTGTTACTTCATGTCAATTCTGACAACATTCGAGCTTAATTTTCATGATATGCATGAAATAATTTTATATTTATTAATCAGCTATATTCTGTCAATTGTCATTGTTATTTGCCTAATTTAATTATTATATTTTTGGATCCATCCTATGCAAAAAATAAAATTTGTCCTTTGTTTAAAATATCTGTTTTAGCCCCAAAATTTAAAGACCCAATCCAGAAATGGACATCTGAGATGAGCACACACTTCTCAAAGGAAGAAATATAAGAATCTAATAAACCCATGAAAAAATGCTCCACATCACTAGCCATCTGTGAAATGCAAATTAAGCAACGCTGAGATACCATCTCACCACAGAATAAATGGCTATCATAAAGAAATCAACCAACAACAAATGTTGGAGAGGCTGTGGGGAAAAAGGAACTCTTCTCCACTGCTGGTGGGCATGCAGACTGGTGCAACCATTATGGAAATCAGTGTGGAGACTCCTCAAAAAACTAGGCCTGGAAATCCCCTTCAATCCAACTATCCCCCTTCTGGGAATTTTCCCAAAAGAACTAAAAATATCATATCATAGTGATATATGTGTGCCTATTTTTATAGCAGCACAATTTGTGATAGCCAAATCTTGGAAACAACCAAAATGTCCATCGCCTGAGGAATGGATAAAAAAGATATGGTGTTTTTGTACAATGGAGTATTACTCAGCTATAAAGAAAAATAAGCTCAAAACCTTCATATATAAGTGGATGCCACTTGAATATATACTTATAAGTGAAATAAACCAGGCCCACATGTGTAAATATCATATTGTCTCCCAAGCATAAGAACTCAAAAGAAGAAATAAAAATTGGAAGATATAACACAGTTAAATGGAAAGAGAGAATTTAAGGATTAAACAACATAAAGAAAGGAAAGAAGTTAGGAAATATGGCAGAAGCAAAACCATACACTTATATAAACAAGATGGTCAAGGCAATTGTTTTAAAAATTTCCATCAGGTTTTTTAAAATATCAGTTAATGGGTAGAATTCTCACCCTGAATAACTCTGTATGTTAATATCTGTGAACTAAGCAACTACATTGAAAACAGCAATGTGTAATACTAGAACCACGCTTGAAATACTTGTCCTTTTGGTCTTCTAAACATGTATTGCTTCTAATGTCATATCAATTATTGCTATACTCTCTCTAAAGTAAATGTTTGTAAAAAAAAAAAGTAATAAAAGAAAATAAGAGATAAGAAAAAATAAAATAAAATACCTGTTTTAGCCCATGTCTCTAATTTTGCTTATTGCATTTGCTTATATGGAAGCTTCAGTCAAATAATCAAATTAAATCCTTCTGTCTTTATATAAAAGGTGGCCTCATAGTTTTGTCTAATACTAAATCAATTTTGGTTTATTCCACATAGTTAATTCACTGGAATGAACTTATTTTTTTTTTTGGTGGTACCAGGGATTGAACTCAGGACCCTGCGCTTTCCAGGCAGGCACACATTCTACTGAGCTATCTCCCCGGCCCTTGGAATGAACTCATGTACACTAAGATAACCCTCTTATTTTCAAATTGTTAGCCATTTTCCATATTACAATTTACCTGCCTCTTCTACTGATATAAAACTCATTCTCAGATGTACAAGTTTTCACATTTTGTCACAGAATTTCTCTGTTATTGACCTTTTTAGTTTACTCATGATATTTTTATTAGTGCAGCTTTAATGTGATAAGATGGATTCCAAGATTTCTAGTCACTGTTATGCGTGTTGTTATGGCTTGTGTCTGGTTGTCCCCCAAAAGCCTCACGTAGGTAATGGGGCAGATGCAGCTGTAGTAGCAGAGAGTGGCTTGAGGGGCGGGGCCAGAGGACCAGGGCGGGGCCCAAGGGAGGGGGCCGGAAGACCAGGGCGGCTTGAGGGGGCGGGGCCGAGGACCTGGGCGGGGCCAAGGACCAGGGCGGGGCCGAGGACCAGGGCGGGGCTCAAGGGAGGGGCTGGAAGTCCAGGGCGGCTCAAGGGGGTGGGGCCGAGGACCTGGGCGGGGCCGAGGACCTGGGCGGGGCCGAGGACCAGGGCGGGGCCCAAGGGAGGGGGCCGGAAGACCAGGGCGGCTCGAGGGGGCGGGGCGAGAGGACCTGGACCAGCCAAGAACCAGGGCGGGGCGGAGAGGCGTGAACGTTAAACTGGCTAGCCTGTGCTCTTTGAGATATGTGGAGAGGGTCATCCTGGACCGGCAGCAGCCCAGCCTCTCCTCCAATGTCTTGAAACCTCCAGTAACTGTGAGCTAAATAAACCTTTCCTTCCCTCATTTTGAGTGTCCGCTATTTGTTCCAGCAAGGAGAGAAGAGTAACTAAGACATGTATCTTTTAGTTACAAGAAATTTCCTTTTATTTGTGGAGGATACATTCCAAAACCCCTGTAGATACCTAAAACTGAAAATAGCGCAGAGCCCTAGCTATGCTATGAGTATTTTCTAAATAGCTATGATAACGTTTAATTTGTAAATTAGTCATAGTAAGATCTAGCAGCAATAACCAATAGTAAATAGGACAATCATAACTATATAATAAAAGTTCTGTGAATGTGGTCTGCCAACAAATCTTGTATTGCACTGTTTTTGTGGGGTTTTTTTGTTTTTTTGTTTTGGTTTTTGGTATACAGCTCAGACACATAGTGATCCTACTGTCCCAGCCTCCCCAGTGCGGGGATTACAAGTGTGTGCCACCACACCTGGTTTCAGTAGGAGCATGGCACGAGACTGGCACAGCATGCAGTGCCGTGGATCGAACCCCAGTCCTTGCAGTTGCCAGGCAGGCACTTAGACCTCTGAGCTCCGTCCCCAGCCTGCACTGTATTTTTGGGCAATGGTTGACCACAGTAACTGAAACCTCAGAAATACAAACCACAGGAAGATAAATGAAGATTGATAGTCCCTCAATATTTCTATCATCTCCACAGGCTTTATGATGAGATAAAAATGTGAAACAGACCCTGCAAGGCTATAAAAGAGACTGACTGTCTTGGCCTAGCAGGAATTCTAAGGCCCCACATCTAAGCCACAGACTTGACTTGCTAAGAGGCAGAAGTATTACCTTATGTTGAGGCTTGTGCCCACTATGTCCCCCAGAGCCCCTTGTGGTCACAAGTGGGGCTTTGCAGAGGGGCTGGATTTACGTGTGACACTGGGATTGATTCACAGTGCAATGCAAGGCTCAAAGGCACTAGGAGTAAGGGTGTGCATGCTGCCCGCCCCGAGAGGTCCAGGTAAGATAAAAGGGTCAGAAAGGAGCTGCTACGGGCCATTGCTTGCTTGTTTTGCTATCTTCTGCCTACCATGAACTGTCTGTCCTCTGCAGTGTCCCTCTGCCAAGACCCCGTGCCCCGTAGCCAGCTGATAATGGACTGAAACTTCTACAGACCTTGAGCTAAAATGAATCTTTCCCTCTTTAACTTTGGGTGTTGGGTATTTTGTCTCAGCAATGAGAAAAAAAAACTAAAACTTTTTTTCAATTTATTTTTTGATACAAGGTCAGACTCACAGTGATCCTCTTGTCTTAACCTCTCCAGCGCTGGGGGGATTACAGGCATGCACACCACACCTGGTTTGCGGGACTGGGGTTCAAACACAGGTCCTTGCACTTGCCAGGCAAGCACTTATGCCACCAAGCTACCTCCCCGGCCCAACTAAGACCCTTAAATGTATACATTAAATCGTCTTCTGGTGCTCATATTATCACAGGTATGAAACACAGGCATCCCCCAGTTCTGTGCTTCCCAGAATGGATAATATTTTATTCCACCACCAAGATGCTGAAGCTCAGATATGCCTTGGACACGATGCGAGCCGCATGCCACTCTCACCCTTGTCCTCTGCTCCTCCTCTTCATGACTCACTCACTGCTTTGAGAGAATCTCAAAGTACAACAAATCCTAAACGATGACCTGTCACTCCTGCACCTCCCTGAACCCGAGGGAGGTTCCATACTCCCACCAAGCCTCGCCCACGTGGGCGGGGTTCAGCGGCCTCATCCGGAGCCTGGCCCTTCACACTCGCCCTTAATCCAGTCTCCTTCTGCCTCACTCTGCAGCCAGCTCCCGGCTCCTGGTGCGTGGCTCTCCATCATCTGCTCAAAACTATTTTTGTTTCTCTTATCGCTCACCAATAACTGACACTGCCCGCATATGTCTTCACGGAATCCTGGCCAGCTGAGTAAAAGGGGAGAGGTCCAGCTGGCCCGTGCACGTTACAGCCTCGGATTCACTGCTCTTTCTCTGCTGCCTCTATTAAAAGTTCATACCATTCTTACTGGTTAAAGAGTTCAGATATAAAATGCGTTAGAATGAACTGATCAGACTAGAAATGTGCAGTGCATTGATTACAAACAAGAACAGTTTTTTCAGGGCTGTGAGTTGAACCCAAGGATGCTCCAGCACTGAGCTCCATCTCCAGCGTGCTCGGTTTTAGACAGGAGCTTGCTGCGCTGCCCGGGTTGACTCGCCTCTGCCCCACAAGTAGGCAGGGCTATGGGCCTTGCGGCTGAGCCTGGCTCACAGCAAAATTCTTAACCACGATGAAACAGGAAGCAAAAGAGACTTTATTTTGGCAGCAAGCATGTTACATATAAAATATGTGGCCTCACCTAAATATGATTTAAACACAAGAAGATTATATATTAATCTGACTAAAGGTTATTCCTTGTAATTTTCTTCAATATAAAGTATCTGTACATTATATAACTAATTATATAAAATGAATATACTAATATATAAAGTACTTTCTTGAGTTTTTCTAACATCTTGGTTTAAATGCTTCAAAAAGAAGACAGATTCCCTTAAAAGCACTGCAAATTTCAGGATTACAAGTTGTAATTCATTCAAAATAGATTGTATTACATCTTATTAGTATTATTTGCAGTAAAAACATAGTATGACATGATTCTTTTAATAAAATGCTACAAAGTTGAAGTTTTCAGATTAAACCTCTAATCCCAAACTGTCATCTGTAGTTTTAGAAACCATAGTAAAGAGAGAAACCATGTACAATCTTTAACATAATATCAAACATAATTTCAGGACCTGCACACAACCGCAAGTGCGGTTACTCTATGGACTGTACATTCTTCTGATTTTCATTGAGACAGCTCTAATCTTGATGGGCGACTCACTCCGGGCCCAGGTGTCCCACTGGATCCCACTGGCAGGCAGCTTTCCAGGGAAGCGGTAGGCGCCGTTCAAGTTTGCCAGGCCACATTGGCTGAACCACCAGCCCGTGCCATTTCTGAGGTGGCTGCAGCTCCACACAGACTGGCCCCCAACAAGGCAGGCAGGGCGGCAGCCGTCATTGTCAACATCCGCTGTGCTGAAAGGCCTCGTGTTCTGATTATCTTCTTTTCTGAGGCCCCGGAATGCATCACCTGGATGACACGGATGTTTTAAATAACTTAACTTAGAGATAGTTTCTACTATTTTAATCAACTACTACTGGCATATTTATGCAAAGTCATCACATCTAGAAACAGAGCTTTTTTTCTACTGTTCCTCGCATTAAAATCTCTCTCACACCAGTTGCAATATGCTGAAACCTGGTGATGAACTGTTCAATATAACAAGCACCTATTTGATAAAGGTATAAATAAATTTATAAATTTGGCTGTGTAGACAAAACCAAATCATTTCAGCCAAAAATAATAGCCCCCAAGCTCATTATGCTTACAGATGATCAATATAGTAATTGGCAACTTAGGAAATAAATAACTTCCAGGGCCTAATGCTCCCAAGAAGATAATTTTTCTTTCTTTCTGAAGCCACCCCAAATATCTCATAGGCAGCCACAGTTACCTGAGGGACCCTGTGGCTGTTCCAGGGGTACCTGCTTTGGCTGCAGTGAAACTTCAATCACGGACCTGCCTCAACGACTCTGCCCCGTAGCCTCTTTGACTCCATCTCACAGCCTCTCTGAATGATTCTGACCTCTAGAACCCTTATCAGTCAAATCAGTGAGGGGCCCCTCCCCCACCCATGACCAAAGAGAAGGCCTGACACTGTCTGTGTGCAAACCCACCACTCTTCCCCACATGAGCCACCTTCCCATGAGTGTAGTGAGCCCGTCCATGCCCTGCCTTCCCCTGGGCTACAGCAGATGAACTAAAAAGGCCTCTTTCAGAAGGCAAATGGCTGCCTCTGTGTGATTTCTATCTCACAAAGAGTATATATGAGTGAGGACTCTACAAGGCGTGCATGCCAAAGGACACTCAACAAAAGCAGTCAGCATCTGGGACTGGTAACACTCAAAGCAGTCAGCAGCCATGGAGCAATGACAAATTGCTGGAAGCCACCATCTCCAGCGGCCAAAAGGGCTCCTGGCCTACAGGGAGCGGTTTGCTCCACACTGAGAGGACCCCTAGCACTAAGAGCTGACTGCATTGACACGCAAAGGCCAAGACTGTAAACGCTAAAAGAGCTACAACTTGCCAATTCATGGTTTCTATCCCAACTGAGCAAAGAACCCTCAGCCAGCTGGGAAGAATAGGTTTTCATTTCTACCATTTATATCACTTTAGATAGAGAAAATTAGATGAGTAACTGGCTAGCCCTCTGTTGAAGATTGATTATAGACCTATATAGCTCACTGTGTACTAAAGATGGGTGAAGCTGAAATTCAGACTTACAATTATCACAGTTATGTGTTTTTTTTTTTTATTTAAGGTCCATCCAGTCTATATAGAACACCTAAGGTCCTCAAGAAAACTTCAGCTTTACTCCTTAGGTGTGCCTTTTCCTCATGGCTCTACACACACCATAGAGATATTGCATGTACATTATCCCTGATAGTCACAGTACTTGCCCAAAGATTAAGTACAGTATCTTGGCCAAGACAATCCAATTACCTAAGACACAAGCCCAGGAATCATGTTATGTTTTATAAAGGCCCCTTAAATTAAAAGGTTCTTAGTAAGTCCTTAATACCTGAATTCCATCTATACACACATAAACTCAGACTTATGTGTGAAACACTAACTCAAAGAGAGGCTATGGAACATATGTAGTGCAACAAAGGCTTGGGATGGCTTCCCTTTGTTTCTGAATGTTTGCTATCTTGTGAGATAAACACTTTGAGAAGCCTCAAGAATTTCATTTGCAGTGTGGCCTCTCAGAAACCCCATCGAGTCTGCCCTGTAGACTGATTGTTAAAGTTTGATTATTAAAGCCTCTGACTCTACACTTGAGAGGAAACAATGGCGCATAATGTGGGTATTTACTTTTATAGAGAATATAATTTTCTAACATCCACATGGTATAACGGCTCTCCAAAGTTCAAGTGAGATGTCACCTAGGAAATATTACCTAGGGTTTATGATGTTCTCACCGGGAAAATCCAACTATCAGAAGGATCATACATCACATGGACTCCTTACTGCACTTTGTTTAACAATTCATTTTTTAAATTTTTACTTTAATGAGTATATGATAGCAGGAAGCAGTGATTAGACTCCCCTTGGATAGTTGGTCCACGTGCATGATACATCTTAATTTCTTCACCCCTTTCACTCCATTTCTAAGTCTCTTTCCCTTTTGTAAAAGATAACTCCCATTTCCTACTATCTTTAATTTCCTCTTTAATTTATTTATATTTTGGGTTTCTCAAGTAAAAGGAACTATCAAATATTTAAGCTTATATATCTGATTTATTTCTCTTAAACTTTTGGTCTCAAGTTGCATCTACTTTCCTACAAATTAGAAATTCAATTTGACCTAACTATTCCTCTTCTAGGTGTATGGGTGGCCAGAGAGATGGCTCAGTGGAATAAGCGCTTCCCTGGCAAGCGCAAGGACCTGAGTTCAATCCCCGGTTCTTAAAAAAAAAAATAAATTAATAATAATAATAATAATAATAATAATAAGTGTCTTCCTGAAAGAGTCACAGATACCTTATTACAGTGACACATGCATACTCATGTTTATGGCACTCAACTCATAATAGGATGTTTTTAAAGACAGGTCCTGCTGTGGCCATTCATCTATAGATGGGCACTCGGCTGATTCCAAGACCTGGCAAGCTACTATGAGCTGTACTGCTATGAACCTGAGTGTGTATCACTGTCTGACTCCTACATAAAAGACTGGCTGGGCTGAAGGGATTTCTAGCTTAAAGTTTTTTGAGGAATCATGATACTGATTTCTGTAGTGGTTAAACAAGTTTACCTTCCCACTAACAATGTAAAAGGGTTTCTTTTCCTCCACAGCCTCCTCAGCATTTCTTATCATGTGATATTTTTAAGATATCTATTCTTTCTGGAGTAAACTAGAATCTCGATATTATTTTAATTCTCATTTCTCTAATGCCCAAAGATGTTGAATATTTTTTCATGTATTTATTAACTATGTGTGCTTCCTACTGAAAAGTGTCTACTTATTTCATGTGCCTTTTTTTTGACTGGGTTTTTAATGGCAGTGGGGTCCTAAGTTTTGTTGTTTGTTGTTTTTGTTTTTCATATTCTACATATTAGCCCTCTGTCCAAGGAGTAGCTGGCATTAGTTTTTTGGGATTCTATAGGCTATCTCTTCACTGTGTTGCTTGTTTCCTTTACTGTACAGGAGCTTTTTAAGTTGATGTGATTACATTTGTTGATTCGTGATGTTATTTCCAGAGTATCTGGTGTTCTATTCAGAAAGCCCTTGACTAAATATGTCTTCAAGACTTTTACCTATTTTATTTTTTAGCAGATTGTTTCTGCTTTAATATTTAATTTTTGATCCATTTTTTTTATTTCAGTTCATGGCAAGATATATTCAGTCTCAAGCATGTGGATAGGCAATTGTCCCAGGCCCATCTGCTCAAGACCTCTATTTCCTCCTTATGTGTTCTGCTCCTTTGTCAAAGATCAGTTTGCTGAGTGTGCCCGGGGTTGTGTACCCTCTCTTCGGTTCCATTGATCCACATGAGTTTTGTGGGGTTTGGGTTTTTTTTTTGTTGTTTTTTTTTTTTGCAGAACTGGGGATTGAACTCAGGCCTTGTGCTTGCCAGGGGAGTGCTTATTCCACTGAGCCATCTCTCCAGCCCCAAATTATTTACTGGGAAGTACTTTTTTTTTTTCCAGAACCGGGGATTGAACTCAGGCCCTTGCGTTTGCTAGGCAAGTGCTTACTCTACTGAGCCATCTCCCTGCCCCCCCCCCATGAGTTTTGGGGCCAATACTGTAGTGTTTTTATCACTGCAGCTTTGTAATGTAACTTCAAATCCAGGACTGTGATGCCTCCTGTTTTGCTTCTGGATGTAGACTTGCTTCTCCTATCTGGGTCTTCTGGGATTCCATATGAAGTTTAAGATTATTTTTCCTAGTTCTGTGAGGCATATCATTGGTATTTTTATATGGACTGTATTAAAAACTAAGTATCAGTTTGGGAAATCTGGCCACTTTGACAATATTGGTTCAGCCTATCCAGCTAGGGGACATCTTTCCATTCTGATGTCTTCTTTGAGCTCCGCATTCAGAGTCTAGTAGTTTTCACTGGAGAGGTCTTTCACTTACCTGGTTAAGTTAGTTCCTAAGTATTTCATTTTTCCTGATGCTATTGAGAATGGTATTGCTTTCCTAATTTATCAGTGAGTTCATTATTGGTGTATGAAAATGCAACTGATTATATCCTGCTATACTACTGATGCTAGTTGTTAATTCCAAGAGCTTCTGAGTGGAATTCTTTGTGTCTGCTATGTAGAGGATCATGTCCTCTCTAAATAATAATAAGGTGAGTATTTCCTTTCCTACAAATGTATCTCTTCTAGTTCTTTCTCTTGATTGATTGCTCTGGCCAATGTTTCAAGTACTACTGTACTATACTGAATTGGAGTGGTCAGGTTTTGTTTTTGCAGAACCAGGGACTGAACTCAGGCCCTTGTACTTGCCAGGGAAGTGCTTATTCCACCGAGCCAAATCCATGGCCCCAGAGTGGCCAGGTTTGGTGGTACATGCCTGCAGTCCTGCACCTGGGAGCTGAAGCAAGAGGATCACCACAAAGCCAAAGCCAGCTGGACATAACAAGTCCATAGCTTAAAAACAAAACCACATAAGTGCATAGCAGTTGTAAGAGTGGACACACTTGACTTGTTCCTGACTTTAGAGGGAAAGCTTTTAGCTCTTTTCTTCAGGGTTTTTGTCAGGAATACGTGAACAATTCATTTTTAAAATATATGCTTAAGTCTATTTCTTAAAAACTAGTCCATTAAGATTATTTTGTTGAATTTACTGTAAATGTGGGGTCAGTGAACAGGACACTATATTCTCTGACAAACCAGAAAAATTCCTCTTGAGTTTTATCATCAGGAATATTTGTACTTTTTCATGGAACAAGTGTGCTGCTTAGGTAGTTAAGTTGATGCTTCTATTTTTTGTTCCAAGCACAAAGCCAAATTTGTAGCTCACCTCTATGATATGGCTGATCTTTTCTCTGTTTCTGTCCTTACATTCTGCAGATACTTTTTTTCACTGTTTTGATATCCTTAACAATCTTGAGAATATACACAATACTAGCTCGTCAAAATTTGAAAGTTCCATAATGTGAAAATTTGCTTGTAAATTTCACCTTCTAGCCAGAGCATATTCATTTTTAAAAGAACCACAACCAGCTCTGATTTTTACACTTTTACATATAAAACATTCAAAATTCTATACTGTAACTTTAAAGTCTTCCCTGTCCTTCAAGACCTGCATTTCAGACACCCGCCTCACATTCGAAGGCTGAGCCCCCTTAGGTGTCTCAGTTTCCAATCATGCCAGTCCCTTCTTTGTGCCCTGTAATTTTCCTCTCTGTGTTCCATTACTCAAACTGCTGCATTTGCCAATATTCACTTGCCAAAAGAAAGTTTTGTCCCATAGCCAGGGCCCTGGTTTTCTACTGAACGTACGCCACCGCCTCCACTCTTGCCGTCAGACTTTGCAGGAGTAAGTACTTTCCAATGTTTCCCAGATTCCACATGAACTCCTTGGTGAAAACTACCCTTTCCTGACATTTTCTGGATATAGTCAATTGGAGTCATTCTCAGCCTTTCTTTAAGCCTTAAAATTTTTTGAGTATCTTTGTCTCCAGTTTACTTATCTTCCCCATGACATTGTGGTCAGTGAAATAGCCAGAAACCTATAATGCTCATTTGTAGACTGTAATAGTGAATCCACATAAGAAATAAGTACAAGCTGCAACAACAGAGTTGACTGTAGTATTTAACTAAAATGCCTTGAAGTGTGTAAGAAAATAAATTCATCTGGAAATGAGCTGATGCATCAACACAGAATGCAGGGAGCACTACGTTCAGTTTCTAACAACTTTGATTATTCCCTGGCTCAGTGCAATGAGCTCAAAGTATTGGGGTGACTCACTTCACCTTTCAGGGTTCTGCACCAGTAAAAAGGAAAGAACCACAACCAGCTTTAACAGGCTGCAACTTCTAAATGTCAATTTCTTTGCACATGAACTGGGAATAAGACCTCCTCAGCCTACCCCAGTGGGCCTCCAGCTAAACAATCACCTGTAATCACACACAGGGAATGGCTTAAGGAATACAAAGCACAGCACTTCAAAATCATTGGGTAATAGAGTGAGTGCTCAGAACAGTATCACAGTCACTCATTCCCAATCCAGTAACGAACCATGCATCAAATAAAATGCACTCTTTTCATTTTCATCTAATCCTAAGTCAGTGATACATCAATCTTCTGAATAATTCAAAAAACAAGAAACTTACCCGCATTTCCTGAATACCGTCCTAAGTGCAGTTTAAAAAATCTTGTTTCATCCTCTAGCCAAAAATTATCATAAGAAGCATAAGCAAATGTGTCATCTTCCGATTCCAGGGCCACGTGCAGCATAAAACTGGTGTTTTTCTGATTTACTATGTAAAATATCTTTTTTAGTCCTAGCCAAAATTCTCCTGTAAAAAAATTGCTTTGTTTTAGTATATTGCAAAACCCAGAAGGACAATCCTTTATTTTTCTTTTTTTTTTTTTTAACGATTGACATAGTTTATTTAGACTTAAGACAGCAGCCACCAGAAGCAGCAAAAGAGGTGGCAGAGAGAATTAGGGAGAAGTGGCACTTTTACTTTAAACGAGAACGAGGCAGGAGATCTTTCCAGATGTTGCAGCGGCTTATACACAGGAGCCCCTACTGGAGGAACAGCTTTAGGCATCAGCTTCACTCACACTGAAAGCTAGGTACCCAAAGAAGAACCAAGTAGACATACAGACATACAGGCAACTATTACATCAGCTGGATCCCCTGGGAAACTAAAAGCAGTTTTTAAGCATAGTCCCACCCATCCTTTAAAGCACATGTTTAGGTTACCCTAGAAGAGAAACTAACCACGTAACCAGTTAAGGTATAAAAAATAAAAAGGCCCACAATCTTTATTAAAGTCTGTTAATGTAATATAATATGTACAAGTGGCACATGGTGCCAATTTTATTTGCAGATAGAGTATTCAAGTTTACAAGTTACACCTTTGCCACAGCCTTGGCCAAATCTTCAACTAAGGCACAATTCAGCTGCGCTAGAGTGCTGACGTTAGCATGCTTTGAGGTGGCGTATTTGTTCTTGATAGTCATATGCTTTGTAAGCCCACGATTGACCCCTACTATATTCTTAGCCAGGTGCTGCATTACAGGAAAAAGAGACTCTTCAGTGTACAACAGGTAGTGCTGCAGAGTTGGTGTCCATTCGCCATTATCAAGAATTTTCTGTGCTAAGCAAAAAGCTCCTGCTGCAATCTGAGAAGGAGGAAAGTGCACCATATCATAGTCCAACATAGACAGCTCCATCAGGTATTTGGCCAGTGTATGTTGCTCAACATCGACCTCTCCAATCTTCGATGCTCTACGAAGAAAGTGCAGGGGGAGCAGGTGACCCAGCCCGAAGTTTAAAACTCTTAGGATCTTCATTTCCATCTGCCTGATCTGGTGCTTAGCGTAAGTGTTGTTAGTCACATAGGCAAAGTCCCCAATTTCTGGAAGGTACATTTCTTCGTATTTGCTTGCGATGAACATGGCAGTGACTCCGACCAGCTGCGGCATCTTCTTAGGCACACAATTATTCTGCATGAACCGGTCAATAATGGACACAGTCATGTGCATGGTCTCCTGCAGTAACCTGAATTTCATCTGAACCTGTACTAGCCAGTCAATTAGGATGGCTCTCATGTTTCCAGTGATTTCTCGACCCAGTAGGTATTTTGGTCTGACTGCCTGCTCTTCCTCAAGCTGTCTGAGATAAGTAAGCATAGATATCTTTCACGTATTCACTACAGAGGTTTGGATCTGCTCCATCTTCCGCATCCACATCACTCACAGCCAGAATGACACCAGAGAAAGCCTGACACAGATCTTCTTCAGCAGGGGCACACCCAGAGGTCTCCATGGGGCTTGGAGAGGGAGTATCAACCAAAACGGGTTCAGGAGAAAGTTTTTCATCCTTAACAGGAACAAGCTCAGGCGCTGGCACACACACAGGCACTTTTTCCAGAGGTTTCTGTAGTTTTTTAGCAGTAACTTTTCTAGTCGCCAAAGTTTTTGATTCCTTTTTCAGGGGCACTCTGGCTTGCAGCTGCTCACTGACTTTGTTACTGATGTCTCCGAGAGCTGTTCTCGGCCTCAGACCTGGCTTGGAGGCTGCAGCAGTGGCCAAGGGCACACGCTTTGCGCCTGCCATACTGACCGTGGCCTTATTATTCTCAGCGTTAATTTTCGTGTTTCGGGTGACTCGGAGCGCCATGGCTTCCTCTTCACCGGACAGCAGCAGAATACCGGAGCCCCAGGAAAACCTGGGCGCGCACCCACTACAGATCAACAGCCGTTCCTCCGCAGCACCAATCCTTTATTTTTCAAAGTTTAGTGCTATGTGTTTCAACAACGCTGGGATGACTCACATAAATAATGAAAGGCACTGGCTGGCCTTGCTCAAGTTATCAGTGTTTATCTAATTTTTTTTTTAATTCCTACTTCTACTTCACCAGACTGAAGAAAATCCGACTGTTTCATTTTATCTCCCCAAATTAACTTTAAAAGTTTATTTAAAGACTGAATAAGAAGTCAAACTTTAAGACATGTCAACGGAAATTTGTTGATAGAGTATAGCAGGTAGAAAAGTCCCATGCACCAGCGACTGTAGGAAGTCTCTCCTCTATGTCAGCTGCTCCTAGAAGAACACGTCCTGAAAATTCTCACTGAACCCGTTCGTGCTTTAGAGAAGACTTCCTGAAGAAGCACTACTTCATTGCAATGCAGCTTTTCAAGTATCTATGATTGGAAGTAGAATGTGGCAACACCAGCCTACCCCAGGGTTGGAGTCAACATTTCCAAGATGACTGGAAATCCAGGATGAGTGGAAGAACTCCCATTCAGAGGGCATACTTTGTGCAAACATATTCCACCCAACGGCTTTCTACTTCCCCCAGTCCATGGCGTAGCCTACATGGGGACAGCTCCGGGATGTATCCTTCCACTTGAATCAGGAAGTTATCAAAGGACCTAAGAATCTCGTCCAAATGAACTTCAAAGAGTTAGGGGAAAATGTGATTGCATGCAAACTATAGCTAAAATGTTAAGTCCTCTTTCCAGGGCTTAGCGGAGGCATTTTAGCTACCACCCAGTTAAAATAGAAAAAGTATCCAGAGTAAACACAGCAAGAAAAAGGACAGAGTAGGATGGGACCCGCGGGCTCTGTTTAGTCTCCCGCAGTCCATGGCTCTTCCTCTTCAGCCTGTCATCTTTTCCCTTTACTCCAACACCACATTTCAGACTTAACAGTACACATTTCTTAATCTTCCAATTATTTTTTAAATGTTCAAGTACAATGTTATCTCAGTTTGCATCAAGAATACCTAAAAACTTAATTAACCAAAACTATCATCGCTGCATAGAAATAAGCACAGAGTAAGAAAAATGACAACTCTAAGCTATGTCAATCTATGACTACTTAATTCTAAAGGAAACACTCCATCAGAAATCAGAGATAATGCTAAGAAAGAGAAGTATTGAACTGCATTCTACAGACGGCTGTTATCTGGCTATAAGCCAAACCCTTTCTAAAACTGCTGGCATGCTGTAGGGTTTCTATCACCAGGATTAACACCTCCACTTACTAAATGCATCCTTGAGTGACATTATTATGGGATGCAAAATATTTTAAATTATAATAAGAGCAACTTTCAAAATAGCACAAAAATTATCAAAATCACCTACAGAAGTTCCAACTGATATAAAAGTCTGCAAGATTCAGAAATATCAACATTGGCACACACCTGTAATCTCAGCACTCATGAGGCTGAGGCAGGAGAGTCTCTGTGAGTTCAAGGCCAGCCTGGGCTACATAAGCGAGTTCAAGGCCAGCTTTTACTACACAGTGAGAATACATAGTAAGACCTTGTCTCACTACCCACGTCCCCAAAAAGGAAATATCAATGTTCCGTTTACTAGCAAAAGTGATTCTCCTGGGGTTTACGATTTTGAAATTTGAACATAATGATATTTATTAACATTTTGTAAGACACTATGCTCACTTAAATTTGGACAGTCACATACTTCAATTTTACATTTCACTTGCTTGGGTAGACATAGCACGCATCTTAAGACTTTTAAGATCTCTAGCAACCCTGCCTGTTCACTTTTTCATTCTACAAATAGTTGGTAAGCACCTGCCAGAACTCTGAGTATATAATAAGATACTTAATGAGTACTCAATTTGGAATTTTCTCTCAAATCACATCTCAACAGATATCTAAAAAGGATTTTTATGTCTCCACTGAAGATCTTTTTAAAATCTGACATAGGAAGAGAGCATAATGTAAGTGATATTTTGATAGTCACATGGACTTGCTATTTTTACAAAAGATACAATCTATACAGAAAGCCTGTACACATAATACTGAAGTGCAGGGAAAAGGGTAGAGAAGAAACACATAAAACTGGACCTAAAAGGTCACCGAATCCATCCAGGTAGTCACACCATGGTCTCTGGAAATCAATGATCCCATCCATCCTTCTCTGTATCACAGTCCATCCGCCTCCTCTGTAATCCATGTCGCACATTACCTAAAAGTGCCCGGAACACACCAAAATAATACACCATTAATTTCATCATTTGATATTATAAAGCTGATGCTTCATCTATAAGTCTAGAGAAAGACACAATACTTTCCACTGAAAATTTTACTGCATTTGTATGCCATTAATAGATTCAGAGTGGGCTGGTGAGATGGCTCAGTGGTCTAAAGCACCTACTTAGAACAAGCTTAGCAAAGCACAGGGACCGCGGTTCAATCCCCCACACCACATGCCAGCCAGCCCCGCCCCCTGGTGGGCTGAGCTGGCCACACACACACACACACACACACACACACACATAAATAAATAAATAAAAAATAGATTCAGAGTTTTTAAACTCTAGAAATAAGACTATTATAAAACAAACTTGTAATAAAACTAATTGCAGCCCTTCTATTAGTCACTTTAAGCTATTATCTTCACTATAACTCCTTAAGCTTATCCCCTTTCTCCTCAGCTCTACAAATACCTTTCAGCTTAGTAACAACAGAACTGACCTGGTGTAGCACAGTGATGTGCATTATGACTCTCCAAATTAACCTTTTGTTCCCATTACAGTGCTGAGTTGTTCAGGTGGCAAACATACCCGTATGCTGGCTTGGTTACTCTCTTCTCCCACAAGCTGGCTTGGGTTCAGGCCAGCATTTTCAGACAGAAAAGCACCATCTGTTTCCACTCAGTAGGTGCTCATAGGTGCCCCTAAGTGGGCAGTTGCAGGAGACCCATAAAAGTGACAGGAAAAAAGTGACAAAGACAAAAGCAGAGCAACTCCACCAGAATCTTCCCACACAGAGATGTGGAAAGGGAGTGTGGAGGAAGAGAAGGAGCCAACATCTCCCCACAGAAGAGGTAATTGTGCATCCCACTCTCTACCGAATTAGAAGCCTTCCTTGCCACAGCTGTTCAGATCCAGTTTTGAAGATGTAGACAAAGTAATTTGGGTAATCTTAAAATTATTCCCTACCTAATTGCCAATTTTTGATATACTGTCAATAGAAAAATAATAGTAATAACTCTAAGGAGATACTGGTAGTATATATTTTAAAAACTTACTGTACAATAAAGGCTACCAATAAGGAATCATACAACACATACACTTTCTTGTACACAAAGTATACCCAGAAAAAATACATGTATCAATACACACATATATCCTATGCATTATCTCTAATAGAAGTTTCTATTAGAAATCTAAGCATAGAAATACTAAGGATAGACATAAGAATGTTTCATTCTATTTGAATTAAGAATGGATCATCTTAGCACTCTGTCTTGCACTCCAGTGAAAGGTTTGCTTTGTCATTAATTTCTTATAGAGTCACATAGAATCATTTTTCAACAAAAGAAAGTATAACCATACATAGGAAGGGTCATCTAAAGTATTCTAGTAGGGCGCAAGGGAAAGCACACCAGTTTTCCTTGTCTCCCAAGGCAAAGTAAGGTGAAGATTTATGTTACATGATTCTGCCTACTGTAAGGATAATATAAGATCGAGTACCACGGCTCAACTTGGAAGGATGTCTCCATAGAAACTCAACTAGAAAAGCGAAAGGCAGGATGTTCTTTGCTGCTCATCTTTTGGGCTTTAGAATTATAGAAAACCAAAATTTTAAAACTGCGACTTCTACCCCTTTCTATTTCAGGGAAAACACTTCAAACAATGAATATACTAGTGTTAATATTGAATTTTATCTTATCCCCAGTACCAAAAGAAAAAAGAAGAAGTAGAATGTGAACTTTATCTTATTCTATTTAATAAGGAAAAACTTTACCTCAAATGGGTAATTAGAGCCTTCTGGACAGATGATGTACAAACCACTTGGCGTCTTGGTGACAGAGCCAATGGTGTCTTTAACATCTGTGCAATCTAAACCTAGAAAAGTAAAGTCAGCTATTTAGGATGCTTTCAGGTTTACATTTCAGGCAAGCATTTACAGTAGAGAATTGATAGCACTTTTGAAATTATCAATATAGTCTCTATTAATGATGTAATGGTCTTAACTTCCTAGAAATGATACATCATCACAATTTTAAAAAACTGCATAGAAGATCTGAGGTTTACAAAATCAAGGCTACAATAAACATTAACTCACCACATCACCGTTCATGATTAGTGCTCTATGCTAGGTAAATGCTTTATTGGGGTCCACGCTGATCTAATGTACTATGCATTCTCCTGTCCAGTAACCACTATTCTTTCAGGAGTCCAGGTTCATCTTGGAGGACATAAGGGAACTCCCTTTAAATGGGGAGGAACAAACTCAAAAGCAAGTTAGGTGACAGCCATCAACACACCCTTGACTACTGTATTCCAAATCTCAGAGCCTGGTATGCTAGAGACCACCATTACCAATAGGTAGAAGGGAACAAATCGGAAACCATGGTCTTCACCAACAAGCTCAGCTTGAGGTTAACACTACAAAAGCTGGAGCTGTTGTCCACGTAGTTATCCCCTCCGAAACGTTCAGGTCCCCAGGGAATTGTAGATCTATATCTGTATACATGGATGAGGAATTACCTTTTACTACAAATAGTACATTTTATTGAAGATACTCTAGTGCATCTTTTATAAATGGAAAAAGTCACCTCTTATCAGCATCAGTTGCTCCAATGCCTGGGTCAGAGTGCTGGCTCTACTCATTAGCCAAGAAATAGTAACTAACCAAAGCCATGTCGGCTTCATAAAGCACCAGAACAATAACACTATTGTATAGTGTTATTCTGACAATTTATACAGTTAGGTGTTATATAAAGCCCTTAGCACAGGGCCTACCACACATTAATATGCAGAAAGTATCTCTGTAAAAAGTTAACTATAAACGGGCATTTCTTTTCCCTTTATTTCCAGGAGATGTAGGTTTGTTGCCTACGTTCCAAATTGCTAAGAGATGTTCCCGTGATAACCTTACACTCCAAGGTCTGACTGAAGTCTGTGCTGCAGAAATGATCCGGGCTAACGTATCGCTGTGTCGCTCCCATCCCAGGAAACCTGAGCAGTCTCTGGATTTTCTGCCCTGTGTCCTCCTCATTTGATGATGACGAACACAGTGAATGTTTATGTTGCTCCCAGTACGCATCAGACAATAGGTTAAGAACTTTTTTATGTATTTACTGATTTCCCCTTCAAAATGACCACGTGGGGCAGACACTAGGTTTACCGCGGAGGGAGCACAGCAGGGAAACGGCGGATCAGGGCTCGGAGGCCACACGGGGAAGCCTCCCGTCCTGCACTGCATCATGTTATGCTACCTACTGAGAGACAGTCGGAGGGAGCAAGTGTTACAAGACAATAATTGTAGAGTAACAAGTGAAAGTGCCTGTCTTCACCCTGGGATACAGGAGATTCTCAGGCATTATCTACTACCTTTTATTTTAGGGGAAAATTGAAGACCGCATACTAGGCCCTCAGTGAAGTCTACCTACTGAGAAGCTCAGGGTCTGAATTCATTCTGCATGCTTGCAGAGTGTCTTTCTTACAATTCCAAGCCTATAGGAATTAATATGCTGCATTTCAGTACAAAAAAAGCACTAACTTTCTATTTATTTCTATCTTAAATGTCTTTTCAAATGTTATATCTCAGTTTGAAACCTTTCAAACGTGTCAAAACTATTGTTACAGGTGGGAGGAATTCTGAAACTTACTTTTCTTCTGTCTGAAAAGTAATTATTAATAAAATGCCAAAAGGAGAAGGAGAGAGCAAAGCTGCCTGCAACTGTGCTTTTTGCAACACTCTCAGGAGGTCTGTACAGGCATGAGCTTCGAAAGGCCCAAAAAGATGCTCGCTGAGCAAAGTGTACACCGTCTGCGGCATCGCTGACTGCACGGCAGGTATGAGCCTTCCAGGCTGTCGGGGAACAGGGAGCTGCTCTTCTGAAACAAAACCTTTAAGTGGACTAAGCCTTCAGGAACAATCTAAGCAACAAAACACAAATGAAAAGATGGAAACGTCAGCACTCTCACCGTGTGACTGGACTGTTCTGTGAGGAAAAGGATCCAGCTGCTTCCTAAAGACTTCTGTGGTCAGAAGGAGGATTCGACTCATGAGATCATTAACCTAAACACACATGTGCGCGCACATTTGGGTTAGCTTGCCTCTGAGCAAACCTCCTCTAACTTAACTATATAAACACTATTGCCAAGCCTCTTATAAGCGCAGCTCTGGAGTGATGCCCTTTGCTCCAGGTTGAACGCTGACGGCTTTCACAAAACGCTGAAGGCGTACCTCGGGAACAACCATGGTCAGTAGCGTCTGCCTCCCAGACAGAATGCCTGCCTCTGCGTGTGACTGCCTTGTAGGTCTGCCCCTCACACCCTGTCTGAGCCACCGCTCTGCTTCCTGGTCCCCTTCCTTTGATCTTCTTGGAGTTGTCGCTCTCCAAACTAGCTGTCAACTGGACCACACCGTTTCCTTGCTCAAATGCTTGACTATCGAGCATGCGACAGTGCAACCTCTGGTCATCTCTTGAGTCTTCACTTTTCCTCACACCCTGTAAGCCTCACAGCTGATCCAACCCCACACCAAGAATTCCCTCCAACTAGAATGCCCCCTTCCTTACCCAATCTTTGGGACTTCTGAGGTATTCACTGTTCTCTCCTGACACAGCTTGCCACCTCTCTCCTTTGGGAAGGCTTCTTGTATGTCAGCTTTCTCTTTCGTGTCATTCTAACAGCACCCACTTTTTCTTTTACATTTTTCTGCCCCACTAACCTGTGTATGTCTTTTTGTCAATTTTTATTTATTTATTTATTTTGTACCAGGTCTTGCTACACAGCTCTGACTCATAGTGATCGTCCTGCCTCAGCCTTCCCAGCACTGGGATTACAGGTAGGTACCACCACAGCCGGTCTCAGTGGCCAGCACAGCGCACACCACGTTCTGAGGCCAGCATGGCACGTGGTACCGGGACTCAAACTTGGGTCCTTGTACCTGCCAGGCAGGCTCCTAGACTGCCAAGCTATCTTCCCAGCCCCGTGTCTTGGATCACCACAGTTTTTATCACTTTCTGTTTGTTGGAGGCTTCTTTCTACAATAGCGCCTACATATCGTGGTACCTTTCACCTAAGAGGCACTAGCGAGACGTCCTAACATGAATGTGTTAAAAAATAGAATAGTGCCTTCAGCTGTGAGTTAATGTACACGGGCAATAACAGCACAGTGCTGAAAAGTCCATACCTGATTGGACAAGTAATCCAGGGATGCTTGCTGCTCATCAATCATATTTCTTAGTAGTTTTTTGGTACTTCGTGTGTAGGAAACAATAGAATTTTGCAGATTTCCTTAACCATAGTAAAAATAGCTGTTAATTATTATATTGTTATAGGAAATAATTGTGGTGAAATCAATTTCACATATTTTGGATAAGCACATAAATAAAATATATCAATTGATCTGAATACTCAGAATTGTATATTTTAGTTAGTATATATTATATTTAACTAAAGATTAACTTAAAAAGTAAGTCTTCAGGAAACAATACTTTTTAATAACACAGATTACCCAAAATAATTAATCTCTAATTAAGAGGTAACATTCCGAATTTTGATTCTCACTCCATGAGATGACATACAGAGACAAAAGGAATGAGATTCTCTATAAATTACTATATAAGAAATTTAAAAGCAACAATTAATTAACTACCTTGCATACCACTTAGGTTCCTCATAAACAGAAACCTTTGGTTTTCTTTATTTTTAATACTATATTTTATATAATTAATCTACTAACATGTACACATACATCTTAGTCAACATTTTTGGATAGCTGATTTCTGACTGAACTTTAAGTATACTTTCTCCTTTTAAATTATTTTATAGAAAATAGTCACTATTTCTTATAAGACATTTGCAAAAACAGTACAAAGGACTTTTTCCTTATGGCATTTGAAACTACGTTGCCATTACATCCCACCACCCCTCATTTCTCTTACACTAACTGTGGTATTAACACAGTCATCACCATCAGCAAATGAGTGTGGACCGCCTGTATCCTCAGCCTACTCATGCTTTACTTATGACACCAGCGATGTCTTCTGGAACGAAACAATTAACACATCTTCGCATACTTTATCCCTTAAAATTATTTTATCTCTAAGGTATTTTTGCTTTTTGTTTTTATGTATTTGGTACCAGGTCTCACTACATAGCTCAGACTCATAGTGATCCTCCTGTTTTCAGCCTTGCCAGTGCTGAGATTACAGGCATGCACCTCCACGCCTGGTCTCAGTGGCCAGTGCTGAGATAACTGTATTTATTTGTAATACTCACTACACATTGAATGTCTTTCTTCTCGTGTAACTTTAGTTTTAACATTGCATGATTCTTCACAGTCTTCCTTATAAATGGTATCATTACTTTGACTTTCATTTTTTGCATTAGCTGCATCTTCTACAATATTAGCGACTGAAGAATCCTTCACATTAAAAAAAATGAAA